CAAGTTCCTTTTTTTTCTTGGTGTTTGGTACACAATGGGAATTTGTCTAGAGGAGGGAAGACTATAAGGATAAACAGGAAAAAAGGTATATCATGTTAAATAAACAAAATAAATTGGTCTCTGTAGACCTCCTTTCAGCTTCCATAGCATATGGACTCATTTCTCTTGTTATATTTAAACTATACTCTGATTCTTGGTTTAAATTTCTTTCTACTCAACTGGGTGTGATGGTGCACACCTACCTTTAATCCCAGTAGCTAGGAAGGTTGAGGCAGGAGGCTTGCAAGTTCGAGGTCAGCCTCAGCAATTTAGCAAGTCCTGTGTCAAAATAGAAAATAAAAAGGACTGCGGATGTAACTCAGTGGTAGAGCTGCCCTGGGTCCAATCCCCAGTACCCAAATACATAAATAAATTTCCTTATACTTCACTAGAATGTAAGCTGCTTAAGGACAAAAAACATACCTTACTCATCTTTGAATTCCACATACCTGAGTAGGCATGTGGTCTGTTATAATGTCTCAAGAAATACACTCTTAAGTAAATGGATTCCCCAAATTTACAAATTGCCTCCTATCTAATGAAATTAATACTCATAACCTGCCTCGATTTCCCTTCCCTATTCAGCCCACCACCCCAAAATAAAAACCAACACTAGTTTTAGGTTGGAATCAACTCAATTCCCCAAGGACTAATGTTTGAGCACATGTTACTTCATCCAAATCAAGCATGCTGAGTTCATAGGAAGGAATAAATTTAAAAAAATATATGGAATGACTTGAATGTCTTCAATTTTTAAAGTCATTCAGTGTCGCAAGCCATCCATGGGCTGTGTGTGGGCCACTGTGTATTGAACCTAGTAGACTGGAACATCTGGTGTCTGGGAAGGACCAGTAGACATTTCTGGTTAATTGCCCTGACACATTGTGAATTTCTATCCTGCTCTGCCTTGTCCCACACAACACCTGAGATAGGTGTGACCTGCCAAGATGCCAATCAACCTGCTGACTGCAAGACATCAGGAAGCAAGACTCTGTCCTTGAAACCTTATCCCTGCCTTTGATGTACCCCCTTAAATAAACCACTGGAGCCATCTTTTCTTTGTGTGGTTCCAGCTCTTGAGTAGACTGGATCTATCAGGAGCTCAGCTTTTGTATATATATTTCTGACCCTTTGTCTTTTGTTCTTCACTATTTTAGACTTTAAATTCTCAGGTGGCTTACACCCTCCTCAGCGGGAAGAAAAACCCACCAGTGAGACGCTGGCCATTCTTCCCTATAATTCAGAAAAGTAATAGGTAATAGGGGAACTATTACACCCCCTAAAAATAAGTTTACTGCCAGCATTTTGAGATAACTTATAAGTTGTCCGATCTTGCAACAAAAATCCAAGTGAAGCCATAAATAAAAGAGTTAATAATTAACATGGGAAAAAACATCAACTTACAAGTGTGGGCAGAAGCAAAGTTGCAGAGCTAGGATTTATGAATCTCTCCAAAGTTTTGCTGGGAACAATGTTGTCTTTTTTCTGTTAACATGCTTGAATTCAGGCAAGATCTTTTCAGGTGGGTCCCTAACTTCTGAGCTTAACTGGGAGGCTGAAATACATCTGTAAAGTTTCAAATAGAGACCTGCTCTTGCCTCTTGGTATGAATGAACAGTCACAACCCTTGGTTACAATTAGTTTTCCCTTTTGGAGCATCTCCCAGGGGCAACATGTGAATGCTCTGAGGAGGAGGTTGTGAGGCGGTTCTGGAAGCTGGAAGAAAATGTGCTCTTGTGGGATGAGGCTGTGAACACAGCATGTGCTAACATGTAAATAACACAGCTAAGGCACCAAATGCCATGGTTTTGAATTAGAGGACTATTCCGAGCAGTTACAGATATACATACACACATTTCTATGCATATATGCATCTATATTTCTATTGCCCCAAAAACTGAACAATGAGTCAATCTTTATTAAAATCATTGGAAAGACCAGTAGTTTTCCATCAGTGAATGACCAGCACCAAGCATCCCCATCTGAAGCTGGAAACCCCAGAATTCACACGGTCAATTATGCAATACTAGACCACTGGGAAGCATTTCTGGCTGGCTCAGCTGGTGATCTGATTTTACCCTGCAGCACCAAGATTGATAGACCTTATAATTTTATCCTGGTTAGTGCAGATGTTCTTCTTACATAAGTTTTTTTTTCCTTTTATTTTTTAAACCTTTTTTCCCAAAAGATGAAGAAAACTAAGTCTTTCCTAAGGGGCTTGCCCTGATGCCATCCCAAGTTGGTGAGATTACTACTGATTACTGGCTAGGGGGGAAGAAAATCTTTCTGAACTTGCTGTAGTTAAATTTCATTGAATGTTTTGTATACTTGTTTATGAGAAAGAATGATTTGCCTCCAAGTCACTCTTTTTCTTTTTTTAGAGCTGGTGATTGAACCCAGGGCCTCTAGAATGCTAGGCACATGCTCTATCACTGAGCTATATCCCCTAACTGCTAAATTACTCCTTTTATGAGACTTATTTGGGATGGGAGATGGGAAAGAGACTTGTTCTTAGAAGGTACAGAATATCAATGCAGGAGGCTTTAGTTTCTCTTATGCTAATGGCAAGGTATAATTTTTAAATATCACATTCATATACATATGCATATATGGTGCATACATACATAATTAGTATGTTTAACAAAGCACCTTGCAGAACCTTAGGACTCTGAGTCAAATTAACCCTAAAAGGGAAAACTAGAGTTCAAGATCAAGCACAATGGAATGTTCCCTTTCAATCATATCTGCCCATCCTCCATGTCTAGGAAAGAGATTTCCAAAAAAGTAAAATACATTTTTATGAAGCACTGCTACAGGCTGTTACATATTTAACTGCTTCTACAGTTCTAATTACAAAATAAGCATTAGCTACTATATGGAACAAATGCACTAGCCAAAAAGATTTTTATAATCTAAGAGAAATGCTCCCAAATTGATTCTGCTAAGAGAAACAACTCGTTTCTCCTTGATTATAAAGAAGGAAGACAGATGGCTTCTTGTTTAAGACTGTAATTTTACTTTCAGCCTCCTCCCTCGGTTAGAAACAAGATGTACTTTTCTGGCTTTGAGGGAAAAAATCTCAAGGGAAGGATTTTTATTCCTGGCTGTATTGAATAATTCAACAAACATTTGAGAGAACTGAGGGAGATATAAAGGAGAAGATACTTTCCCTTGTTCTCAGGGAGTTTACAATCTAATTGTGGAGTTTACAATCAGAATTGAGAACAGACACATTAAAGTTTTATTTCTTCATTCCCATTTAATAGCCTGACAGTTACCAGTAAGACACTTCAGATTCACCAGCACTGTGGTATGGTGGAGGCTTGGATCAAACTGGAATATAGGGCAAAAGCAAAGGAAGCAGTGATCTCAAGAAGGACTTGGTGAATGGCTTATTCATGGGGCTACTAGCTGCTTTCTTGTGTTATTTAATCTTAACAACTCTTTGCAGGCATCCCTCTTATCAGCATTTCAGGAAGGAGGATAGTAAGGTCTAGAAAAGTAATGCATCCATAGTCACAGACCCCTGAAATGGTAATGGAACTCACCAACCAAGAATTCTTCTTTCTTCAGTTTTTGTCTTTGTCCCTAGCTCCCATTCCAACTTTTCTGTGCTTAGATTTCCTTTCAATGCACATAAAGTCAACTTCTGTACTCTTTTCCTCCCCATAGACTTTGAGTGTATAATCTTTAAACCTTGCTTTCATTTATTTGGTGACGCTATTTTACCCTACAGCACCAAGACTCCAGCACTTCTGAAATCTCACTCCTTTGTAAACAAACATTTTCTTTTCTTCCTGTTCTTTGAGACACTCTTTGATAAGAAGAAATAAGACATAAAGAAGACTTATGACAGTTCCTGATATGTTGTTGTGTTACTATTAATCAAGATCTTTATTCCTGTCACCCTTTAATTGTTCTCACACTGTATTTCTAAAGACTCTTTTGGGGTTGATAATTTCTTGAAGATAGTGACCATGTCTACTTGTTGCTACCCCCAGAATGTATTAATTTAGTAACAGGGACTTGTCTCTTTTGTTTATCTCTTTATTTCCAGTGCTGACAAGTTACTTGATCATAGTATCTTTTCTGTAAATATTTTTATATATGAATTAGTGCCCTTTGTTTTTCGTGGACTAGCCAGCACTCAAAAGCTTAGTTAAGATTCAATATGGCTTTGTTTTGAGAGCTTGGAGAACTTTTTGCCTTTTCCCCAGTTCAGACTCTTTATTACAATTTCAACTTGGGTACATTTCTTTACGTTCTTGGTCCCTTCAAGGCTCAGTTTCCACATCAGCAAAATGGGGACGGTAGTAACAGATGATTGTGTGTCTTGGTCTTCTATCATCTATTCCTTCTCCACGGAAGGTTTATTACGTACGCTTTCTTCTGAATTAAAAATGCAGACGACAAAGAGGTGAAAAGTCATCAGAGAACACGGCTGCCTGTCCAAGGGGTAGAGAGAGAAGTCCCCTATACCTCCTCCGTGCCTCCCGGGTCCGGAAGCAACACGGCTCCATTTCGACGGTGAGCCAGCCCGGTCCTCGGGCGCCTCAGCCCTAGATGCCCTCTCGCCCCGAAGCAGCGCTCTGCCTCGGTGCCACCGCGAAACCGGCCCGGCGCCGCGCAAACTCCAACGCGCGCCCAAGGGCCCGGCCTCGTTTTGGCTGCCGCCGCCCTGCAGTCCACGCCGCGCTGCACTGGGGGCGGGGAGTCTGATGGGAGACGCGCGCGGCGCTGAGGAGGCGGCGGCCGGGGAGAGGGAGCGGGAGAGGGACTGGGCGCGGGTGGTGGGAGGCGGGGGACAGGGGGAGGCGCCGCCGCCGCCGCCGCCCGCCCCTTTCCGCTGGGGAGCAGCTGCAGCAGCAGGAGCAGAGCAGGAGCCGCGCAGCCGCCGCCGCCGCCGGGGGATGTGGCCGGCGCCTGCCCCGAGCCGCGCTGCCTCCTGAGTACTCGCCGCCGTCGCCGTCGCCGCCAAGCCGTGCGGGGCCAGGCCGCGCCCTCCCTGGGCGCCCGCCGGCTCGCATGCCGAGGGGCTCCGGGGCGTAGCTGCGCGCCCGGCGCCGCCTCCGGGCTCCTCCGGCCCCGCCATGGGCTGCTGCAGCTCCGCCTCCTCCGCCGCGCAGGTGAGGGGCTCCCGCCTCCCGGCCGCCCGCCCGGATGCCTCCCCCGCGCCGCGCCGCCAGCGGGTGCCCGCTCCCGGTGCTTCTCGCTCCCCCAGCCTCCCTTCATCCACCGTGCACTCCAAAGACCCCTACCGCTCCTCTCCCTCCCGCGCGTCCCGCAGATGCCTCTACGCTGGCTCCGGCAGCTGCCGACCCGCAGGCGCCTTTGCGCGGCCCCCGGTGCTCCCTCAGCTCTCCCCTGTCCCTTCCCGACTTGGCCTCCTTCTCCCGGTCACACCTGAGCGGCCCGTCCCGCCCGCCTGCAGGTAGAGGCTACACAGGCGCCTCCTGTCTGCCCCAGGTGGCATCCCTTTCCTGGCCTTGCTCCTCGGTTCCCACCTCGGTGGAGTGTTCCCCTCCCATCCGCCGACTATTTTCTGTGTTCCAAGGTGTACCCCCAGCTTGGGCTCTTCACCTCTTTGCTATCTAATTCCAGTTTCTGCTCCATTAGATAATCTGTCCCTTTTCTCTTGCCCGCCGTCACCCGGCCGGGTTCAAGTGTTTCATCGGGTCCCAGAGCCCTTCCACGGCCCTTTTCCCAGCTCCCACTCGCTCGTTTCCTACCCCATCCCCCCTTAGTGCCTTGACCCCGGGCACCCGGGCCTCTCTGCACACCGAGGCCCCTGCGGGAGCGCCGGGACTGGGCTGGGAAGGAGATTGGGCACCTGGTGGGTGACGGGAGCAATACGGAAACTCCCTCTTTGTTGCCAGTGTAACAGGAGGAAGAGGTGCCGAATTTAGTTTTTCTGTGGGCACTGGATGAATGTTGTCGCTGAGATGCAGAGATTTCTCCCAGCCTCTACCCTGCCCCCATCCAAATTTCGCTAACCTCCTTCCCTTCCAATCCAGGCTCTTACCCTGGGTGGAAATGTTTAGACAACTGTTTAAGGATCAAATGTAATAGAACTTGACTGCTGGCCACTAATAACTGAGAGGACCTGTTTGTAAATTACCTAATTTAGTGGATTAGTGAGTGTATTTACAAATACGATAAAAAGCAATCAGGAATACTGCATCAAACTGTCTGGTGGTGTTGTATGAAAAATAGGCTCTGACAATGCCTGGGATGTAATCTCCACAGTTTCATTAGCGTAGAATTTTAACAGTGCTCTGTGATTTGCGTGTGTGTGTGGGGGGGGGGGTGAGAAACGGACTCTTGTTTTTAGAAATAAAGGCTTGTTGGTTCTTGGAAAAGCAAAATGCTAGTTTGGAGAAAAAAATTCCTCCAGAAATCTAGCATCTGTGATAATGCCAGAAGTGTTTTGCTGCTGCTAAATGACTATATATAACTCAGTTTTAAATAACCTGCATTCTTGATCTGGAAATCTTGAGATCTGTTAGAGAAAATGCCTAGAATTGCAGATGCATGGAGAACATTTTATGCTTTATTAGGTATCCATCCTATTTGTCCAGTTGTTATGCTGATGGGTTTAGTTAAACCTTCCCATTCAGTTAGAATAGCAAAGAAAAACTATGTGTGGTGGTGTTAGGATAGGTCAGGGTTTTCATATTAACATATATAGGTGGAAAATTATACAGATCTTTCAACTGCTTAGGGATATTTTGGGACAGGGCTTCTAGTTGGGTACTGTTCATTTAATATTTACTTAAATATAACCTTCACCAAGAGGTGTCTTTCATATATATTGCCTTTCTTTTCAGAATTGGGTTACTTTACTTTCTCTATTGGTGATAAAATGCCTTTAAGACAGGAACGTATTGATACTTTATGGATAGTATGTTCAGTGCATGAACAGTTTAATTTGGGAGGGATGGATTCAGCACTAGCTCTGTTCAGATAGTGGATCTTACATTTGTCTGTCTCCACATCATACTTTTCAGAATGCTGTCAAGTGCATCTTTTTGCTTTTTCCTCCTCTTCACAGCTACTGTTTCCTTCATGCTGTGTTCTACACACAAGATGCATGTCATGCACCCAAGGGGGTATTTTTTTCTGTGGATTCCTATAGCCAATCAGCAACTGTCACAACCTTTGAGTTCAGCTTTGGGGACTTGTAGTGTTCAGTGGAGCATGGAGGAGGCAGGTTTCGTGCCAAAGAGCTGGTCATCTTTTTTTTTTTTTTCCTTATTTGAGGTTTTTGGCATCATTTTTCATTTGTGAAGTATTTCCAATCTGCTGGCATTTTAATGCTCCTTTGAGAAGCATCACATATTTAGAATTGTATTGTATCTATCTATATGTGTAGTTGAAACAAAATAGGGCTGCAACTTTAAATCTTCTTTATATGTAAACCTTCATATCATCCAGCCTCTCTTAGGGGTATGGAATGTACTTTCAGGCAGAATATGTTTGTTCCTACTGGATTATAAGCTTCTTGAGAATAGCAGCTGCTTTTGTTTCCTTATCTTTGTGTTTTCTGCAGTGCTTCACTGTACCTTGTACATAATAGTTGCTCAGCAGTAGTCATTGAATGGAATCTATACACACAAATTTGAACATCTAGCTGGCAACTGACATTGATTATGAATGCAACCCTGACCTATGTTTCACTTCTATAGGCTGGCTGGTTGACTAATTCCACCAAGCCATCCTCTTCTGAACTCAAACCTGAACTGTGTAAATTAAAACTTTCATCCTTTCCCCATTTCTTTCTATTCTGTCATTGGTATCATTAGCTTGTAAAATCGAGCAGATTTTCTCTTGATTCCCTGCTCAATGTTTATATTTCAGTTGGAGCCATGACTATAATATCTTAAAAGAGCTTGTCTGCAAACTCTAATGATAACCTGCCTAGTACATCAAAATGATATTCTTTGAGGTAAACTGCAGTCCAGTGTAGCTTTTCTCAGGGGTATTGTCAGCAACTTTGAAGCCCAGGTAGACTTTATCAATTGAAATATGTTGTCTTTTTGTAGTAGGAATTCACTTTTGAAATGTATTGTGTTTTCCCTTGTAGCCTCTTGCCATGTTTAAGATACTCATAAGAGTTTATAGTGTTCCAAACTTTCATCTCTTGTAATTTGTCCTGCTATTATTTTCATTATTATTTTCTTGCCAGTGTCTGGATATTAATTTCCCATCCAAAGAATTATCCTGATTTAGGATTTAAATTTACCAGGTGTCACATTCTATACTAGTATTTCATTGCTGAAGGAGCAAAATCTTGGCAAAATAATTTGTACTATATCAGGCATCTAAGAATCTTAACTGTCTTAGTCTGGGCTCTTACAGACTCTTAATTAGGTCTGTCTGTCTTTCTTTTTTATTAGTGACCATTACAAGTTGTTTAGTAATTACTGAAAACAAGCTGATACATGTTAGTCTTTGCCTAAGTCTCTTTGAAAAGAACATAAAAGTAAGATAGTCTTGGGTTTCTTTCTACAGCCCTAATCCTCCCTAAGACTCTTAAAATTTATTCCCATCTCTCCATAATTCGTTTCTTCCATTATAACCTGACATAATTTCTATTCTTGTAGTGTTAAACTTCAAAGTTCACTTGTAAATCTTCAGATTTATTAAATGTTCTTTCCCATTGACAAACCAGTTTAAATGAAGGAGGCTTTTGAAAGATTACTTAGCAAATTGTCGTAAGTCTTTGTCGTTAATGGCTAGATCATTATTTCTCACAGCAGTGCTTTGGAGGCCAGGAGATTTTTGCAAGTATTCTGAAGTTCTGTGTCCTTCAATTCTAACCTTAGAAATTAAGAATGGAATAGAGGAGAATCTTTCCGGTTGAACAAACGGCTCCTTATCTGACTGATTTTAGCAGAATTTTGTCTACTATCTTATCCCATGGTCTTAAATTGAGGGCTATATATTTAACTGTCTTATTCTAGCTCTCGTATCTTGTTTAAGAGTAATGAAAAAATAATCAGAAGTGATTCACAAATACTGGTTAGTATTTGAGTACCTTAACTGCCTTAAGATAATTCTGATAGAATTTATAGTCTATACCTGCTTTGTAGAGTTTGAAATCAGGTGGAGAAATAAAATTTGAAGAATATAGTGGAAATTACCAACAGAGACTAAGTTGTTCAATTAAAATATGACCTGCAAAATAAATCTTGTTGAAAGTCATGGCATTAAGATTTTTTTTTTTTTTTTGCCTTAAGAATACTGTGCTGTTAGCATAGAGGATCATAATAATTTTAATGTGCCTGTTTTTTTCATATCCATTTCCATGTTTGAATCTCTACAGTAACTCAGGTTCATCTTACTTCCATTTTACAGATCAAGAAATTGAGACTTGGAGATCAGGAAACTTGGATCAAGTTGCAGAGCCACTAAGTGATAGATAGCTTATCTTCTGAATATGGATTGTGTGCTTCTTCATTTATGTTCACATACATAAATCGCAGCTCCTCCACTTTTTTTTTTCATTTTTAGAGAAGGTCAATTTTGGACTAAAGAGTTTCCAAGTTAAATTTTATGCCACTATTTTGAACTTCCTGCAGGTACCACCTGAAGAGTAACATTGTATAATATAGCAAAGTTAGTACAATTAGAATGTTTCCATGCTTACCAAATTTTATGGGATGCCTCTAGATGTGTTAACAACTCTGTCATTTAAAAATATTGTAGATTGGGCTGGGGTTGTGGCTCAGCAGTAGAGTGCTCACCTAGCACGTGTGGGGCCCTGGGTTCTATCCTCAGCACCACATAAAAATAAATAAGTAAAAGGTATTGTGTCCGTCCACCACTAAAAAATAAAATATTTTTTTAAAAATGCTGTACATCTGGGAAGATAAATATGTTTAAAAATATATTCTGATACTGGTTATTGTTTAATAGCTGTTTTTCTATGCAGCCTTTGTCCCCCAACTACCAACAAAGAATGAAATACTTTAACTTTATAAGTTCTGGTTGGGTTTTGGGGACTCTGGGAGATTACTAGAGATGAACTGGTCTTACCTTCTCACTTTTCTGTATATTTAAACCGGACTTTAAAAACTGGGACCAGAACCTACTTAGTCTCATAATCTCTTGCTCTTACTGTTTG